GGGGGGGGGGGGGGGGGGGGGGGGGGGGGGAGACTTGCTTTTTACTTCAAGTGCTGCTGGGTTGCTTAAAGGTTTTGCAACAAACTTATAAAACTTTTGTAATTAAAAATAAATAAATAAAAATGAAACAAATACAAAGACCACACTGGCCTGTAATTAAATAAAATCAAATAAAATATCTGCTCCATTTCTTCTCCACAGGGGTCCCATCTGCTGGGGCTAAGAGCCTGAACTGAGAGCAGGCAGGGAGGCAGGAACGACAGCAGGTGATGTTGCTCATTCGGTGCTTCCCGCGGCTGGACCGTGGTGAGCAGAGCCGAGTCCTGTAGCTCCAGCTGGAGGAGGATGGGCAAGAAGAAGCTGGCCCATACCGATGGATCGAGCTGCTGTACTTAGGAACAGACTTGCCTAATCCTGTCCTTCCCTTTACCAGCCACCCTTCATGTCAGTAGCTGTCCTCTCACCACTGCTGTCCCAGGGTGCCAAGCAAGCATCTGCCTTCTTCCCCTAGCCAGGATCTTCTCCACTATACTAGAAGCCTCTCTTCTAACACTGCACATGTACACACAGAACATCACAAAGTAGAACCACAGCACGAATGAACACACAAGCAAATGACACACACCCTGGAGCAGTCCCCGAAGATAAACCATCTGTGACCAACTGCCCACACTTATTAAATGCACCCGCAACTGAGGCTTCTCTCAACAATGCATCACTTTCAGTTTCTTCCTGAAAAGCACAAAAGGTCCCCCTCAGTGACCTGGTGCCCCAGGCATCCCCTTTGCCCAGTCTGTGCAGGAAAGTCTGCTATGTATATGGTCCTTTCTGTCCTCACTTCAAAGCCCAGGTCTTTCTTACTTGACCCCTGATGGCTAATTAGAAATAAAGGAAGTTGGGTGGAAGCATGCAAAAAAACTTCTTGAGACCAAATGTTGGTCTTTCCAACTAGGAAATACTCATTTTAGTCTTTGCATCTCTATTTCATTCACTGTGAACTCTATTCCTCCATCTTCTGTGTCAATACCTTCTTTCCATATGGTGGACACCTTCTATGCTCCTCTGTGCACTTGAGTTTTTTTTTTTTCCTTAAAAAGAATGATTCTGTCAAAACTTTTTAAAGAAGGCAAAGAGAGAGAGAGAGTCTCGAAATCCTCACTGACTTAAGTCACCTAGTCCTGTTAAAACTTAGATCTAGCTCCAAAGTCATCCCTGCCAACTGATGCTCAGAGCCTCACCAATGATTAAGGATTTCGTAATGTTGACCACATAAAGCTAGCCCACGCTTCTTTCTCAGAACCTGCATTGCACTCCTGGGTGACAGTCACAAAGCTCCACTGCTCCACTCAACAGTAGACACTCGACAGTGCTCTACTGACTTGGGACTGTGGGGGAAAGCGTGTTCTCACCATTCCACCGGGTGAGTGCAGAAAATAGAATGCCAGGGTGGAAAGGCAACAGCCAATCTGGGAACATCTGAAAAGACAAGAAAACTGGAGCACCAGGAGAACCAAGTAACTCACCTGAAGTGGGAAGGCTGTATCAGAACCCACCTCCTAGCTGGTCAGTGTAAGACCCGTGCACTTTGCACAAATCCCACACGCCAGGGGTGGCTCACTTCACAAAGACCACAAGACAAGAGACGCTGCAATCAGGCAAGAGGAATTTTATTTTCCAGCTAGCTGGGGCCCTTTGCCTTTCGGAAAAGCGCCCCCCCCCCCACCACCACCTCTTTACATTGGAGTTTTTATACACTTTCTTTGGACAAAGACCTTATTCATGGTCAGGCTTAACAATCACTTGGGCTCTGCCAGGTGTCCTGAAGATAAGAAGGCTGGTTAGTCCTTGAGACCGGCTGGCCTCTGGAATGTGTGTCTAGTTCTGCTTTGACCTCTAAAAAGCTGCTTCACTTAAAATACCTTTAGATATGTTTTCCTCATTTTTAGTAAGTTCTTACAGGAACAATTTGTGCAGGTTAAGTTAAAGTTATACTGTGCAGGCTAAAGTTATACAGGCCACAGTGCAGGTTAAAGTTACATTTCAGGCAACAGTGCAGGTTACAGTTACATTTTTCTTTATAACAGTCAGCTCATACATTCTCACCTTCAGTGTCCAGTGGACATGACGACCTGAACACCTACTTCCCTTACCTAATGCCGTGTTCACCTCCCTGGGCCTGAGCTCTTGAACACTTGAGAATTAGCTTCATAATTCTCACCCATGTAGAGCTAGCTGTGCAGCGAACTGGCTTGTTTAAAATGTGGCCAAAGCTGGAAGTGAGTAAAAAGGTTTCTGAGCAGCCAAAATAAATGAAATACAGTTCATCCACGGAAGCTCATTACCCATATTCAAAGGCAAGCCTTTCAAACTCTCACTCAGAGCCCATGTGCTCTCACTTAACAAGCAATTCTAACGAGCTCTGATGTTGGTTTTCTAAAGTAACAGCAGATCAGAAATACCAAACTAGAAATGGCTGGAGGAACATACTGACAGCAATAGAAAGTGACCCCTGACAGCTGAAAGGTCTACAAGGAAAAGTTAGCAAACAAGGAGTTGGTGTAGAAATCTGAGTCTTTATGTGGGAAGACAAATAGCCTTGTACACCCCAAGGTCTTGAGGGCTTGTTACAAGACAGGACCTTACCATGCATTCACCTAATGGTTTACCTCTACTCTATTCCAGGACCTATGCTGGTGTATTTATTAGCTATTTTGGCTACCAGTTATAAGGACCCAAAATAATAGTGGTTTAAACAAGCTGCAGGGGTGTTTTTCTCTCATGTAATGGGAAACCCAAAGGTAGGGAGCCTGTAGTGGATGGAATTATGTCCCCCCAAAACTCACTGAAGCTTAAATTGTGTCCCCCAAGTTTTATGGATTAGAAACTTAGCCCCCACTGTGACTGTTAAGAGGATGGGAAACCCTATTATGGTAATTGAAAGGTGGAGTCTTGAAGAGGTGATTAAATTGTAGGGCCACGCAGTAGAGAATGGATTACAAATGGTGGCCAGAGGCATGGTTCTGAGGGCTTTAAAAGAAAAGGGAGGAGAGTGTGTGTGTCTCTCTCTCTGCTCTGCCATTTTTACAATGTGATATCCTGTGTCACCAAGACCCTCACCAGCTGTGTTCCCTGGACTTTGGACTTCCCATCCTCTGAAACTGTAAGCAATAAATTTCATTTTCTTACAAAGTACCCAATACTGCGTATTTTGTTATAAGCAAGAGAAATGGACTAATACAGAGTCAAAGACTGGTATAGTGGCTCCTTGATATCATTAGAAACCTTTCTTATTGCTTCACCATTCTTAGCATGTGGCTTCCATCCTCAAAATCACCTCATGATCACAAGATGGCTGTTGCAACTCCAGCCATCACATCTGAATTCTAGTCAGCAAGGAGGAGAAAAGGGAAAAGGCAAAAAGGCATACTTCCCATCTGAATCAACCCCTTTCAAGCAGCTTTAATGGAAGCTTTGCCCAATTTTGCTTACCTCTCATTGGCCATCCCTATGTGCAAGATGAAAAGGAAATGTAGATTTTTGCTGCAACCCCTTCAATACAAAGGTTCTGTTGGTAAGAAAAAGAAGAAGAGATATTGGAAGGGAACTAGCACAGCTGGTCACCTGAGATAAATAAGACATAGCTCTGCCTTCAAGAAGCTAGGCTTCAGGGAGAATAATCTCCTTCCAAAATAGTGAAAATAATTCTCTCTCAAGACATAGACTTTCACCTACATGAAGAGACTCAGTAATTTGGGGCAGCCCTTTTCCAGAAGGCTCTTGACTGCTGAGACTTTTGCTGAGTTTGGTTTGTTTGTTTGTTTTAATTCCATAAGAATTACATTCCTGTCTATGAAATCTGCTTGAGCCCTGCTTCCATCTACCAGTGTTTATGCACCTCATAACTCTGCGGTTGGAAACGGGAGAATTTTTTGATCATAGGAAATAACCAAAGCATTTCTTGGCCCAATTTCTCTGAGACAAATGACAAGTAGACGCAGAAGGCATTGTATCCCTGTCTGTCCTCCTCCTTCCCTTATGCTTACCCTAATCTTATCAGGTTGTGGAAACTTCATGAAGAGAAGAACCCTCTATGAGAGGTATAAACCCTCTGACCGTGCATTATGGGGCTGCAACTCCAGAGACACGAGAGATGCATTTTCTATTTCATTTCGAGCATATCTGATGTTTTTGTAGATAAAGTGAATGTAGTGCACTCTGATGGATCTCTGTCTCAGGGGAGAGGGGTGAATTTTAAGCTGGTTTCTTCATTTCTATCTTGGTTGGGGGGGTGTGGGAGGGGATTTCCCTCGACCAAGCTAGGAACAGAGGAAACCAGCTTAGACTCCTGCCTGAGCTGGACCACGAGGATGAACGCCTCTGCTGGAACACGGTGCCGCTGCCATTCACCCGTCCCACTTGCCCTCTACTTCTCAGGGCCAACGTGTAGTCTCAGTGGTAGGTGGCAGCATCGTGATGGGGATGGCCCTGAGAGAAAGTGTAGAGCACCACAGACTGCCCCCGGGGGGGGGGGCACGGAGGAGAAGTGCAGCTCAAGGGCACAGGAGAAGCATGAGCAGGGTCCAACTGGATGCCCATAGAACTCTGAGAATCAGTCACACATCACCCCAGGTGTGTCTGACTCTTTTTTCATTCATTTGGATTTTACTGAGAGCATTCCTTCTGCTGGGCTCTAGACCAGGCATTAGACATATAAAGTCCCTGCCCTCACGGTGTGGAGAAGAGGAAGGTACCAGGAGGACTTGGTGTGAGCTCAAGGAGAAGCTCCCTGCTCGGGCTGGTGGTCACACAAGGCTTCCTGAAAGAGGTTCGCCCCAACTGAGTTCTGAAGGATGGATCAGGCAAGCAGAGATGGCAGCAATGCTCATGCAGGACTCTCTGAACTTGGTCTGCCCCAAGGGAGTGGTGCAAGGTGAGGCTGGGCAGGACTGGCTGACCGGAAGGGCCATGGGACCATGGTAACAGGGCTAAACAGTAGGAGTGGGATGCTTGAGCCCTAACGGACTTTAAGCAAGGAGGGCCATAGACCTGCACAGCTGTGTGGGGACAGCTTGGAGCAAAGCCTGCCTGGAAGTCAGGCAATGAGTTGGAAACTGTTGTTGTCACCTGTGCAGGAAGAGGAGCCTGAACTCAGACTTATCGGGGCACTAGAGGCAAGGGGCAGCTGCACAGGCTGCTAGAGAGATAAAATCCATAACCATTGGTGGGTGACTGGGTGTTGTGGGGGAATAAGGAGCAATCGAGGAGGACAGCCTGGTTTGGGGACTAGGTGACTTTGTCCCACTCTCCGTTCCTGTTCAGGGGAAAGATCCCAGGTTCAGAAACACTCATGTTGAACTGGAGGTTTTGTGTGCCAGCTAGTGGAGTCCTGCCTCAGATCAGCAGCAAGTATATGATCTGAGAGTCGGGAGAGAATTGGGGAAATGCCCTATGTCTTACCACTTCTGCTGCAGCCCCCAGCTCTGAAGACAAAATGTGGTGTCATCCCTGCTGTAAATACGCATGAGGCTCTCCTCTTGTGCACAAAGTGAGGAAGAATGAGACACCTTAAGGGAAGAGGGGCATTGTCTCTGGAGGCTCTCTCATCGCTTGCAGCAGAAATCATTTGCACATATACTTCTGCAGAAAACCCTGACAGGTAATGACTAGAATTAGCTTCATTTGACTCACAATGAATTGGGAGATCAGATAGGGAAAGTGACTTACTCAAGATGACCCAGCCAGTTAGTGACAAAGATGGAACCAGCTTCCGGGTCTTCTGATTCCTGGGTCAGACACAAGGAGGAAGTTTAATCCAGAGGTTAGTACATGGACTTTGCAATTAGGTAGATCAAAGCTTGAATCCCAGCTATACTTCTTGAGGCTCTCTGAGCCTCAGTTTTGTCATCTGCAAATTGGGGATAATGATTCTACCTTCTCACAGGGATGCTGTGAGGCTTGAGTGAGATAATGCAGCCTGTAATGCACTCCAGACTGTGCCTGACACACGGAACCACCCCATTCTTGTTGCTACTTAACAAAACACCTGGAGGGGGCCCAGTGAGCCGCTAATCATGAGAGTACAACATGAGGCCTGGGAGTTAGAGGGAAAGCCAGTCCATGGAACGTGGACTTGAGACTGGCTTGTTTTTCTTACCCCCAGCATCAAAAAAGCTGAGTTCATCCTCCCTCCAAAGCTGAATGCAAGCCAAGGCCTGGCCTACAATTGGGGTTCACAGGAGAATATAAAACCCACCCTCTAGGTGGGCCTGACTTACACCTGTAGCAACATCAGACACTTATGGCAGATACAAGCTGGCCTTCTGCGTTCTGGACCTGTTGAGCTCAGCAACTCAGCCCACACTTCCCAGCCCTGCTCTACTCCTCTCTTTCAGCACAATCCACCCCCTCCAGGGGTCAGACTCCGTGGAATCAGGCCCAGGAGTGGGGTGGCCCTTGGCAGGAGATCAGAGCCCTGGCCTCAGGCCGGGGTGTGGGCAGGAGCAGTCAGGAGGGGTCCCAGGCGTGGGTGGGGGAGTGAGAGAGGGTGGGGGAGGCATCTCTTTGGGCTCTGTCTTCTGCAGAGCCAGGGCCAAGGCAAGCAGAAGGTCTGACTCAGCCCGGCTTCTTCATCTGGGTCCGGCATCACATGTTTGCGGTCTGGCACGCAGGCCCAGCGATGATGGTGTTTAACCATGAACTACACAGCCGACAACCCCTCTGTTCCATTTCTGGTAGGGCCCCATGGGATTTCTTGAAATCTTGTTCATGTGGTCACTATGGACCAGACACTCTTTTAGTTCTAAAGTTCAAATGTATCTTTTTCTTTAAAAAAAAAAAAAAAAAATCTGCCACAATTCAAAGTGAGCTTTATTTCTATAAAAAGGAAAGAAATAGTGCCTTTTTAAAAAACCATAGCCCAAACAGGAACATTTAAATATGAGACTGATATATAAATATGCATACCCTCTCATAAAAATAGAGTGGTTTGGGGTTACGTTATTTTTTTTCCCCCTTCATTTGTTGTATGTCATTGAAAATCCACCAAAAGCCATCTGGTAGTGAGTTGAGTGAACTCAACACTGTTCACATATCTCTGCCTTACAACAGACAATTTTTAATACAGGGAATAGATCATAGAACTGCTGGGGCATGGTTTATTGCTGTAAAAATTATCCAGTTACCCATTCTGCATTATATAGCAGGGATATGTGCTTCTAAACCCCCCAAAAGAGATGGAGTGGCCTGAAAGAGATGGTGCCAAAGGGTCACAGTGAGGGTTTCAAACAAGGGGAACATGGGGAGGTCTGTATTCTCAAAGAGGTGCCGTGACGGGGCCTCCTCCAGGTACAGGCTGAAGAAGCAGCTCCTCAAAGGCACAGCAACAGCATTGTGTAGGGGGAAGGCCTGGGTTCAAGTCCTGCTCCTCCATACACTCCCCGAGTGGTTCTAACCCAGTTATTTAACATCTCTGAGTCTGTATGAACTGAGAATACTGATAGCTACTCAAAGGTGTGCTATAACAACTAAATGAAAACATGCTTGTGTAGCCAAGAAGAAATGTGGGCAGTCACTGGGTCACCCATGGGAGAGGACTCCACATGCTTTGGCCCTTTGTGAAAACAGATTTGAGAGCAGGATCAAGAACAGCCAAGAGCAGAGATGAAAAGAGAAGAGAACATTTTCTAGTGCCATCGAGTAAGAAAGTGATTATACACGCACACGGGGGCATGTCAAGGGGGCACAGGAACCAGCTGAATGAACTTGCATGGCCAAAGTGAGGACAACCTGAGCAACAAATAAACTTGCATTGCATATAAATAAATATATATAAATAACATATTTATATATAAATATATAAATAACAAAAATAATAAACTTTGCATTTTTATGCCAAAGCATAAAATAAATACCCATGAGTCTATACTGATATAAATAAATGACTGAATAAATTAATACATCGAAGAGAAGAGACAAATCTCCTGTGCAAAATAATTCCACATAATTTTTGCGGATATCCCATCCTATGAGGAGGTAGAGCATAACTGCCCACCCTATAAGTGTGGGCTGTACATAGTGGCTCCCTTCCAAAGAGTACAGCATAAAATGAAGGGAAAAACGACGTCATCCAGGTCAACATCAACAGCCATAAATCATGTTGGTGGTACGTACTGTTGACGTGATGTGCTGTAAATGGCATTTCATCTCTGTGATCTTCCTCGAAAAGCCCACAGCCCCAGTATAATCATGAGTAGAACACCAGATAAATTCCAATAGAGAGGCATCCTATAAATACCTGCCAAGTACTCCTTAAAACTAACAGGTCATCAGAAACAAGGTAAGTCTAAGAAACCATCACAGCCAAGAGGAGCCTAAGGAGACATGATGGCTAAATGTAATGTGGTGTCCTAGATGGGATCCTGGGACAGAAAAAGAGCATTAGGTAAAAACTAAGGAAATCAATAAACTATGCAGTTTAGTTAGTAATAATGTATCGGTATTGCGCTCTTAATTCTAACAAATGTACCATACTAACAGGTAAGATGTTAATAAGAGGGGAAACCT